AAGTATTAATATTTAACTAATAAATGTTTAATTAACTCAAATTAAATTAATTAATTTATATTATTTTTATTTTTATTTAACTAATAAATTTCCTTATTTTATAGAATAATTTTGATACTTTTTATTATATTATTTTTAATTTTTATTTCATAATAAATATGTATTAATTATCATATATAAATTAATTAAAAATTAGATTAAAAGTAAATGTATCAGTATAATTGATAATATGATAATTAATGTTCTCTTGAAATTTAAAAACATAAATAAATAAATAATTATTAAAAATACGACCTAGAAAAAGGAATAAATAAAATATGTATATATCATTTTAATTATTTCAAAGATTTTTTTTGTTTTATAACATGTAGATTTCTTTCCTTCATTTTATCAAATACTTAAAAAAATCAATATGAATTATATTGCAATATATTGATTGTAATTTTTATACATTGTATTGCACTTTAAATCCTTAAATAAATTAAGAAAAAAAACAAAAATAACCTATATTGCACATCCATCAATTTAATTATTGTTGATTTTTTTTTACTTTATAAAAAAATATTATTTTTATTTAAATTTATTGGGTATTCAATGACCCAAACGAAATCAATTCAGCCAACATCAAAATAGTTTGGTTTGAGTTAAGTAAAAAAGTTATGAAATTTAAATCAATTAAATTTAATTACTTTAAATTGAATTTTTATTCAAACCTGAACCAACCTAGTTCATGAATAATCATAGTTTCTGCACACCAAAATCAAATCTATGCAAGCCAAAAAATGTCACTTTAACATATTTATTTTATTACTTGGATGTGCATTCCATAAATAAATTCTTACTATTTTATTTTATTTTCTTCCATTTAATATAATTTTAGAAAAATAAATGAATTTTGAAGATAATAAACAATATTTATATTTTTAAAAGTTTAATATTAAAAAAATAAAATAAAAAAATAGAAAAGGATCGTTGTTTATTGTAGTCATCATCTACATGAATGATCATGCTTTGTATTATACCACAATAAATGTAATATAGGTAAAGTACGTGCTAGTGTACAATACTATTTTCTTACACTAATTTAGAGTTTAATTTTTATATGTTGTCGGTGGAATTTTTTTTACATTATCAATTATTTAAAATATATGATAAATATAATTTTTTTTTAAAATAATTACTATAAAAATAAATAAAAAATAATGTATAGACTATCTACTATAAATAGAAATCAAATTCATTAAAATTTGCACTCTTCTCTCATTGTCATACGATATTTTACGATATATATATATATATATATATATTTTTTTTTTCCC